AATCTGCCTCAACAATATAGAACTTATCTACAATCTAAAAATTTGTTTTTAAATTTATTAGCACAAAAACATTTGTTTTTCTGTTAGTTGTTGGACCATTCGTTATTGACTACCTTAGTAGTGTATTATCTCTAGAAACTTTGCAAGTGTGTGGCCTTCTTTATTTCTCACAATACAATAAAAGCTATTCGGTTTTCCACTTTCGTCTCGCATTCTAAACCCACCAAAATCCACAGAAAGAGTAAAAAAACATGTGATTTCTTGATCCTGTCATATATTCCCATCCTCCCTTTTTATGCAGAAGCCAACAACACATTTTGGCGCTACCAATGGGATTATTTACATACGAAAAGGATTTATTCGAACTTACAAGCATCAATACCATACACTCGCGCTGATATTTCAAATTTGGTTTGCTGGTAAAAGTTGACTCAACTGATTGGTCCAAACGGTATCATCGATCTCCTATATTAAGCTGAATATCAATGTTGGGTAGATAATTAAGTCATCCTTACTAAATCGCATTATGCTGCGTACAAAATGTCTAAACAGTTCCATCCGAGTTTCAAAAGATTATTCAAGTTTTCAATCAAATTTAATCCGGAACCGATCGCTTTCAGCTAAGCTCCATTACAATATTGATATTCCGGTTACGCTTGGGATTTGAATTTATTGGTTATCATAATTCTTCGTTTCAGAGTTTGCACACTTTCAATATTTCGCCAGCTTCATTTCAGGCACTTTATTCAACTTTTCCAAGTTAACTGATGTCAGTATACATATTATCTATCGGATCAAATGGATATTTTTGATTAGGTAACCGAAAATCCCATTGTAAAGTCACAATTAAAGCACTAAATAAAAATTATCCAGATAAGAAGCTTTAGGTCCTAAGTTTTTTGCTGATTTTTGGGTTTTAGTTACTAAATAATTTCCACTGAATTGGCGATTATTTCGGTCTAGGTACCAAAAGTTTGTAAAATGTTCTACGAATCTTGAGTACTGATAATTATCCCATCAAAATGTTGCAGAGTAAGTCCTAAATAATTCTGTTTCCAACAAAACAATTTAAGTAAAATCGAATTTTAAAATTCTACTCGCAAACGACGAAAAATTGGCGCATTTATATTTTATAAGCCAAGCCAGATCTGAACTAAATATGATCCTTCGCAGTCGAAGCGTTGAAAGTTCTAATATCGGGTAAGTTGAAGCATTCGAATTGAGCTTTGCGTAGCTTTCCAATCAGCAAGAGGTATTTTCCTGTTTGATTTCAAAGCAATTTTGAAACAAAGTTTCGGACCTCGGACTGAAACTACGGACGAAGTTGGTACGAAATATTTACTTGGATATTCCAGACGTTCGATTTGGAGTAATTTTTTTATATTATAGCGTATATTTCACAGCGGCTTCTGGGTAAATCAAATATGATTTTTATTACCGAATTGAGTTGATACCATATAAAATGTCCTCACGTTGATAAATATCAGGAATTGTTTAAATTTTCTAGTTCCCTAGATATGAAAAAAATCCTATACGTGTTAGAAGCAAAACGTGACAGTGTTTCTTCTGTGGGATAAGTATATTAGTAAACTTGATTGAAGATCAACGCCTTCTGGTCTTGGCTGGACTCACTCTGAAGGACTCGACGATTTTTTAAATCATTTTTTGCAATGCGCTTAAAGTGGTTTTGTTGAAGTAAAATATAACTGTTGAACCGGTCCATTTGCTGTTCGAGTAGAAGTCCAAAAAAATGCCAAAACTTATTCTTCACAGTATTCTCGTACACTGGTTTTGATTCTTTGTTTCAATTTTCACATTTGCCTGTTCATTTGATGGTAAAAAATAAACTAACTTGTTTAAACGCCATCATATTCCACTGAGAGGGCGGAACAAGAACAAATGCGCAAAGTAAAAATGAAAAATAAAGTTTCCGTAAAAGAACGGTGTCGGAAATGAGCATCTCCCTTATTTTAAAGGCAGGAAATCGGTTCAAAATAGGTTTTCACAGCACTGTCAATTTGTTTTCGGTCTAAATCTCTTCTACTCCATTCAGAGTTTTGGTTTTATTTTAAACGTACTGAACATAATAGAGTGTCTTTGAAAGTGGTAGACAATGTTGACATTAAATAATTTAATAGCACTTTAGTTGACTTGAAAATGGGGTTTTTAAATGTTTTAGTTCGCTCCTCAAATATACTTCCGGCGAAGTAGGAATATTCTTACTTGCTTATTATATTGGAATGCTTATTATATTGGAATTTCCTCTAAAGATTCTTCGTCTTAGAGAATTAGAAATTAGAGTTTAGCCTGCTTCTCACCTCTCTCGTCATGACCACCAAAGTGATATTGGGCGCATGTTGATCATAAAAAGCATTTGGATCCGTAATGTTAATGCCGTCATCCGGTGTCCAGGTTCCCACTTTTCTGATTTCCTCTTTCTTCAGCTTGAGCAAGTCCACCTTGAAGTTCGTCCGCTTGCCTTCTTGAAACTCCAAGTTTCCGGTGAGTCCGTGTAGATTCGACTGAAGAAAAATTCAAAATGGAATTTAGTTGCGCCTTTCCGGTGTCCTTATTCGGAAGGGAAGCAATTAACAACTTAGCATAGACGATATATTATTCGTCGGTGGCAATAAACTATCAAAGTCGACACACGAACGAGCAAGAACTTATTTCCATACAAAAATCCCGGAGTTCATTTTCCAGAAAGCCGTCGCTTCCAGAACGATTTGTCAAGTTCTCAGCCAACGAAATAATAAATCCCAGCTACTCTGGCGAACAGGTTTTACTGGGTTGGATGTGAGATGCATTTTCTGGTGTTGCACCTTTCATCACACCATAACTGGGTCTATCATAACTATATATGCTCTAATTTACATAAACGGCCAGTACGGATCCAGCTTTCCAGTCAGGGAAAGATCATGTAGTGGAGATTCAGTCAGGACAGTCTTCAATTCAATTACAATAATAAACGTAATTAAAAAACTGTTGCATTATTATATGCCCTAGTTGGAGATACGCTTAGTATGAGCTTTAGAATGATTTATGGGTGGAAAATGGAGGATGGGGCGCCCGCTTGCAGAAAGCTGGTAATAATCATTTCTATTGTATGTTGGTACCGCCCTTACTAATAAAATCCTAATTAATCTCACTTGTCTTGGATATACGAGTATAAGCAAGCCCTAAAATAAAAGGCGAAATTGTTGCGTGTGCAAGTAACTCTCAAGACAGCAAACTATCCGCATCAATATATATAAGAAAGTCTCAATTTTAATGGATGCCTGCGAAAGTTCGAGACTCTTCCGTTCGGAATAACCGAAAAACTTTTCGCATCATTGTCGATTACCAAACCCATACTGGTATCGAAACAAAAGAAATGGAGTTTCTTATTTGCGTTGTAAGCCCGAACGGGGAAGATAATGCATAATTTAATTTTATATGATACACTTTTGGGTTCTGAAGGAAGGAAATGTGTTCGTTGTCTCCAGTGAAAGGGAGCCAAATAAACAAACTTGGCATATGATTCGGTGCAAAACTGTTGATGTTTTAGTAATGAAATTGTGTGTTTGTTTTGCTACAGTTATTTTGTTTGCTTTCCTACCACCACCACATATTATATCTTATATATTTTGCAGGTGGGTAACTTTACGACTAAGTTCGTCTACATGGTCAGACTTAGGTTTCCTAAACGACTTTATCGTTGTCCATTTAAGAACGATTTATTGTTCTTGGGGAAAAACTTGCTCAAGTGAATAAGACCCAGGCACGTTAAACTTTTGATAAAATAGCGAACAGCTTGTTTTCTGTATGAGTTCTTGTTTTGATTGATCACAGAGAGTAAAACTTCTTCTTAACAAATATCTTGCCCCTTCGGATTCAATTCCATTGCCATTTTTCACAACTCTTTTCGTTTGAATAGAGCGGAACTGCCTATCAAAGTCGGTCTAGTTTCCAAATGTAAATTATATAAGGGTTTCTCCGAGAAATAAAACGGCTCACCTCAGGCACTTACTCGAGCCAGCTATTTGATAACGAAACATAATACTTTTCCTTGATAACCCCCCCAATGTATCGGAATTCTGCTAAAAGCTCTGGATAGGTGCGATATACTCGGTATGATAGAGATAAGAGTTTTTGCCTGTAGGTCACAAATTGGTTATATGTTCTTCGGAAGTTCCAGAGGTCGGTTTAGAATTCAAACTTTCACCGATCATAAAAGAGTTTTTGCCCATTCCAATGAAATTCTTCTCAATTCTTCAGCCTAATTTCGGCGCCAGATACGAATTTTCAAACGCAAATCGACACTTTCCTCTTTGAAAAAATTCCCAGTTTCAAAAATTGTTCAAATTGCTGAATATGGTGGCAAGATGAAACTTTCAGGATTCACGAAAGCGCCTCCGACCTTTCCACTTTAAATGCCAATTTTCCATCCCAGGGGCTATTCAAGTAAACCAGATTCTATCTGAAATGGCGGTACATAAATAACACATAGTAGGAAGTTGTCCATACGAACCCAGCCTGGGCAGATTGATGGGCAAACTGCTCAACATCAGTTTCACTAGGAATGTTCAACAGTTGCAAAAAAAAACACAACAAGCCATGAAAACGTATTTCTTTGATACTTGAAACTTCGGGAAAAAGGGTGGTGATTTGTTGCTGTCTTTACAGGGCAGTGATCATCAGATTGACCATCTCCGGTGCATTTTAGGTGGATTTTAGATAGAAGGTTCGCTATTTTTCGTTTCCTTTTGCAAAAGAGATCTATGGATCTAGAACTCAATATATATTTTTTTATGTTACAACAATTTTTTGCCCCTGCAGAAGAAATTACGTTTTCACTCCGCTTCTACTATTCCACTGTATTAGCTTCTTTATACCAAACGTAATACACTTTGTATAACTATGCAGGAAATCAAGGAAACACTTCAACCAAGTGGCTGGGATTAGTCAAATAGCATGTTAAACATACACCACTGTTGCAGCTATCGAAACCTCCCTTCTCAATGTTCTCATCCGACTACAGAAGCTATCGAAGCAAAGTGTTATGTTTCGTTTTCGAATATCTTGTTCCAATAAATGTGTAAGGTGAATGGTTTTTATTTCTCCAGTAACTCCGGATAATCCAGTTTAATTTCGTTAATGTCCAATATATGAGGACTTTTATCGGCAGCAGCGCACTTTTGCTGATACGTGAAACGTGGGAAAACACTTAAATAAACGAACATTGTCAGATTCATTTACTCTAATTCAATAGATCGGCGAGTGAATCAGGAAATCTCATCTTATGGGGGCAGGGGAATCCTCATTCACCGTGCAAATTCACCTCACAAAGTGCAGTTGAGTCCGACTTTGTTGTTTTTTCTCAGCCGAGTTTCAGATCAACCCTTTTAGATTCAAAATTGGGATAAATTTGGTTCGTTAATGTACTGCATTACTGACTTAATGAAGCTCCGTTTTCTTGCCGAATCCTTCACTTAGTTTTGAGGTTTTTCCGACGACTTTTCCTGATTTGGCCTAATTTGACGACATTATGTGCCGACAATCTGATTGAGCATTGCAACTGTTCTCATCCCAAAAAGTAATGTTTTTCATAACAATTTAGCGCAAACAAACCCAACTTCAATTCCTTACGCACCACTCCCTTAATTAACGTCAATTCCTCTTTCAGTAGCTTTTCGCTCTAATGAATCGGAGAATGTTCGATTGGTTCACGCAACCAGCGTCCGACAAGCCGCAAGCTATAAATTATGAACTAATAGTGCTTAAACGTTGATGCATTTACAATGGAAATCGTTTAATGCCAGATCCGAAAATTTGCATGCTTTCTTTGCTTTTTGCCTTCATTGTTTCGGCTAAAATTGTGTTTTCGTTTCATTTGTGCAGTCATTTTCAATGGACGCAATCGTGAGTGCTACGAAACGAGGGTTAATCGAACAAACTTTTAACCTGATTTGCTCTGCATTTTTCATTCAGACAAATCACAGCGTTTTTTTTGGAAAACTAGTGTTCGTTGCCTCGGAAAAACTATCCCAACACATAAGGTTTTAAGCTATTTGTTTTTTTTTCAGGTTAAAGCGGCATTAAACTTGCTTATATTGACTATCACAAAATAAATAGTACACTTTTTATGGAGACGTAATGGTCTATCGACTGCTTCTAGCTGATCAATTTCCACAACATATAACTAAGTTACCGCACGAAATTATGAATCGAGTTATTCTTTCCAGAAGTAATTACGTTCAGTTCGATATCCAAACTCCACGTACAAATTCGATCAAAACTTTGGCCAGTTGAGACCAAACTAGATTAATAACTAGTGGCTGGAAGCAAAAAGGCAACTTACCACCGAATCCAAGTAGTTATAAAGCGACAGGCCATCGTCCCAGGGTTTTTCGGTATCACATGATAGATTTGTGGGTTTAATGGAATGTCCTGAATCCATTGCGGCTAATCCCTTGGCGAAAACGTAGACAGAGTCATACATTAGGGCTGGTTCAGCCTATAAAAAGTGGAATATCTGGTTTATTAATGTTGCAAGACAAAGCGTACACATGCAGTCATATTTAAGATTCCCTAACTAAAACTGCAACACTTGAACAGTGGGGTAACGCTAGTATAACCTTCTCCTTAAGCAGGGTTTTTGTGGACTAACGATAATTTACTATATTTACCAGTTAAATCGATTGTGCCAATTTCACTCAAAAACTCTCATGCTCACCTGAATTATCCCCGATCTGTTTAAAATTGCATGTCCGATGGGTTGGAATTTTTCCATTGTGCTCAAAATGTCTTTTACTTTAGGATGATCCACGTCGACTAGGCGAAACGCTGTTATGTTGACTGAATTGTACTTGAAGTCTTCCAGATCGAAGGTTTCCAAGTCCTAGTAAAGATAAATCAATGTGAATTACGAAGGTTTAAAGTATAAATCGTGCCGTATGTGACATTTGGCTCAGGACTGGTGCAAATTTGTAACCATTAAATTTTCGCTAGAGAACGATTATTGCAGCTAAATTGCGAACCGGCGAAACAACCGAGCTTTATTAGAGAGTTTCATTATTAAACTGTTCAGACTGCGTGGCAAAATTCTTATTTAATGCGTCAAACTGATGGCTCTCTTTTTCCTCTAAACTCAAAACCTTTCTCGAGATAGTCTGCCGCTTTGCAGAGTTAAATTCGCAATCATTAATTCTCCAGGTTTTACATGGATTATAAATAAACTTTTGATGGAAAATGTTTGAGGCTGACTTGACGGCATGCTCAAGGCGAAGGGACTACACACTTTCCATTAAAGTTCATAGCAAGTTTCTTAGTATCGTGCCAAAGTTGCACTCTTCGAACATTTTAAAAGATATTTTCTTAGGGCGAAGGTGCTTCCGCAAGCTGATGATGAATCATCTACTTCCAGGGTATGCAAAATTTTACGTTGACATTTAATCGCCGTTGTGATAAGTGAACTTGGAGGCTAAACGACTGTTTTTAAATGGACATTTTAATGGAGACATTGTGAAACAGGTTTCCAAAGTGGCCAGCTAATATTTATACAGTGCGGGTGTCGATATAGTATGCGGGTATGTTCTATTTTTTAGCTTTTGCGCATAGAAATGAACTTAAGAAAGGACTCCAGAAAGGACCTAGGTAGCCTTTTCATTTTTTTTCTCAAAAAAACCACGATTTTCCATTGAAAAACTAGCTAAAAATAGGTACTAATTTTAATCGGACTGGCGGCTGGCGCGCTATCTTCGCTCGATGATAGCGAACGAGTTCTTCAGCATCGCTGTGATTAAACTAAAGACTACACATGAACATTGCAGGTTGTGAGCTTTTTAGAATATCTGCAGGAGTCTCCAATAAACTTTTAGTAGAGCGATTTGTTGGTAGAATAACAGAAGTTTAGGGAAAGGAAACTAGTTTTACTCACAAAAGTAGTGAACATGTAGTGGTATCTGTAGTCGTTCATTTGCAGCTGTAGGACCTGAAATTATAAATCAAATATTGTCAATATTTATAAACATAAACCATAGAGGATTGTTTCGTAACAAATAGCTCATTCTTTGAAACATGCGAGGTAAGTTGGATAAAAATATTTGGAAACAATCTTCTTGAGTTAACAATTTTTTTAAACACGGAAATACGAATAGATATCGTCGAATATCGAGCCCTTAACGCGCTATGAACGATTTGGAGTCAAATTGGGGTTCAATGGGAACAACATTGGACAAACTTATCGGGTTTTTTAAATAATCCCTTTATGTATAAACATCCTAAATACCTCCAGAGGCCAATTTTAAATATTGGTCCACTATGCCATAAAACAAACATTTTTAATCGTCACTCACAGACTGGCAATAGCAGTTAGTTTAATGTTGGAAACTATAAGAAACTTACTAAGCAATTTACTTTTTAATGCTAACAGCTATTAAATGAACAACATCCCGCTTCTCGAACAGGAAGTCCATAAAGTCCCCCCAAACAGATGAACTCGATCAGCACATTTCCACGAAGTTTTCAATCTTTACTGCATCTTAAAATTAATAATACCTGCAAGAAACTCGGTGTGGTGTAACTTGATTTCACCGAGCGCTTATGATGCGTAAAACGTTTTATGACTAAAATTTAAACGACAATTTTACGATTCACTTCCTCAGTGCAAAATAATCTATAGAAGCTGCCACTTCTGCTCGTAGTCCAAACATCAACATTATCTGTGATATGTTTGTCAACAGTTTGAAGAAAAATTTGGGCGAAAAATAAATTTTAAATGGGGCTAAAATACTCTATTCTCTCTTCTAAATAATATTCAATGTGCTTACCGCCCTAAAAAACTGTTGGATATTTCGGGGGTTCGTGTCGATGATCAACTTGAAAATGTCCTTTTGTCGCACTTCTCTAAGGACTTGCCGGTAAGTGGAAGGCCCCGCCTGTCGAATATACATCTCCATTTTAGCCGTCCCAGGAGCCTTGACCAGTTCTTGCAATTTAAAAAGCCCTGCGAATTAGATTTATGTATAACAGTCGCACATGCATATTTTAAATTTAGTATGTCTTGCAGGGCATCCTGATAGTACCCAAAGTAGTTTCTTTAACTTTTCKTTATAATGGGCGTCTCAAARTTAGCACAATATTTTTTACTMACATCAGCACAAGTGTTTAGTTCGGTTTTAAAGAAATTGCACCAATTTAKTGTGAGAACATTATCCAARGCTGATSACCGCCAAGAAAACCTTTAATAAATTGGCCAATAACGACTGCTATGTTTARGGTTCTTAGCTGATCCMGTCTTTSTTCMATTTAGAMTTAATCTTTTCAGTTAAGTCCTCAAGTTAAARCACTACTTATACCATATYTTATATRGAATTTTCGAACTGCGATCGCCAAACGTTCAATAYTATTGAAGTGTTGCTCAATAATAGAAACACTTTAGTAGAGATCCACTGGCTACTAAACCTGAAGCTTTTCAGACCTCCCAAGGGTGGCTCAATATCGAATTTTGCTAGTTTCTCTTCGTCGTTTAACTTTTTTGCGTTAAAACAGCGATCATTTTCATCCAAATCGTTTATGAAATAAGTTGGGGCAATTAAGTTTGCCCCTAAGCGCTGCCGCACAACATCTAGTTTCCAACCACTCTCTTTTAACACCACAATAATTACGTTTCAGTATAATTTTGCTTATTCGTGGGTCCCACATGGATGCCATTCAGTTTCAAATTAGAGTTCGCAAAATATTTCTTTTTAATCCAAGGAAACTTACTAAAAACATGACGCAAACATTTGCAGGCGCAAAATGTCAAAGAAAATCGAGAACAGTTTAACTTAGCAGCTCAAATTTAACACTTTATTGTGTGTAGTAAAATTATCTTTATAAGTGCACATAATATTTCAAATTTTGCAGCAAAACTCTTCTGCTAGTCTTGTTTTTGTTTACTCAGCGAGGTTTTTTATTTATTTTCTCTATATTTGCTCGTTAATTATGAAGATTAACTTCTTTGATTAATATTTAATATGACTGCTGTTTTTTGAAGACCCAAATATTTCCATTTGTACTCAAAAACCTGGAAAGTCTGTATGCATCGTGTCTTTAGTGTTATCAATGTTTAATATTAAAAATCGGCGTTTTTTTGATTGATGTGTAAGTGGTTTATTGTTCTTCAATTATATATCAAGTATTGTTACAGTGGGGAAACTTCAGTCCAGAAGTTTCAATCGCATTTGGTTTCCGATTGTTTTTTTTTTCAATATCTTCCAAGCACACAGAACGTTCCACTTACCAGTTGAATACAATTAATCATCTAACATATAGAATAGCACGCTTTTCTCTTCTATAAATGGTCAGTTTGTGTGGAAAATTGCGAGATTACTTATGTGAAAAATGCTCATCTATTTGAAATATTTCAAGCATCAAATAAAAGCGCAAGCCGCATTTTTATAAAACGAGTCGCTATGAATTCTATGAGAAATACACGATTCTTAAAGCTAGAAAAATGCAACTTCGTGATACACTTTGTCGTATTTTATTACATTCTTAAGCTTCAATTTGAATTTTCTTCGGGAAAATTTACTAGACGGCTTTAAAATGCAGTTTCACTGGACGTCGCGTGTTTTATTAATATCTGTTGTAAAACTGAAGCATTTCACTCATAAGTAACCAGATATGTTGCAGAAAGGAGGCTTTAGAACAAGCGTTAAGTTTTATTGGCGCTTTGAGACAAACCGTCTTTTAAATGAGAGTTTTAGGTTGATAGTATAGGTTTTAACTGAACGTTTCCAGTAAAGAAAATAGCAAGGGAAAAAGTGTTGTCGATAAAATAAATTTCTCATATTTACCATAGTCTTCTTCATAAATAATCGCCACTTTCGTCCAGTTCAAAAAGGCCATCAGATCCTTAAAAGCTCGATTCATATTGTCCTGACTGGGATGTAAATTGATGCTCAACTGCTTCGAAGCAGGTTCAAAGTCTATTCTCGCCTCCAGATGGGGAACGTCTAGTGCTAAAGAAGCAAGCCGATTCGACTAAAATGCAATTACAACTTTGAAAATCCCACCTTCGCAAATGCTTTGAATGTGAGCGCCCAAAATGGGATCTGACGGACCAAAAATCGCCTGGACACCAAACTCCATTTGTCTGCACGCTGAAACAAGTAAATCATTTCTTTATTATTCCGCCGGAGTGCCAGGTTAACCTAGTTGTAGCTGGAAACTAAGTTTTCAAATTACACACATAAATTGTTCTAAAGTCTCGTATATCTGCTTCTAACTTCCGAAGTCGTTGACTGGAGTTTAACTGAATTCAGCTTGAAATTCTATTATTTAGTGCAAAACTAAAACGCATTGTAATTGCAGTCAGACCTCTGTTCTGTGAGCGCAACAGTGACTAGTTAATCTACACATTTGTCTGGGGAAAGTTAGGTAGGTGTAGGTTAAAAAATAGCCATAAAGCGACCGCTTTATTAGCAGATTAGGCATCAACGACTGAACGATTTTTATTTTAGAAGCCAAATTTGACCGAACCTGACGAATATCTTTGAACAACTTTGGTACCCAAGTGTGGGTTGCTTGGCCAATATTGAACAAACTGCTGTTCTGAGAAGTTTCAATTAAGAATGCATTTTGATCTGTCGGATTTACATCTCAAGTCTAACTCTAAACAGCGAGAAATTGATTCTGAAGCCAGAAACAGAATTTCTCTTTCGTTATTAGAATTTCGACTATTTCCGCACCTTCTCTTCATAGACATACAAGCGCGGACTATTTATTGGTCGGCTTTAAGAGCGAATACAATCAAACTTGAAATTTTTCAAAATTTTCTAAGTCTTTATGATATTTCTCCGGGCTCAAAAACTACACATGCAATAATGGAAATTCCACATGGATTTTCCACAGAGCTTGATAATCAACTCTATTATTAACTCGTCCCTAAAACTGGCGGCATTGTAGTCAGTGTAGAAGGAATTTAGTCCAGTTAGGGATTTTGCGGCAAATGTAGGCCTTTGCTGGTTTATCATAACGACAAATTTGCTAGGAATTATATTATCTGGAAAGTTTTCGGAAACCACTTTGTGTGGGCAATTGTTTAACCGCTATTAGCTTAACAGAAACGTAATTTTAATCAGGTATGAATAAGCAGCAAACAGCTGAATGAGGAACATTTATTCATTCTGGAAGATATTATAATGAATTAAATAAAGAGTAGAGGACAAAAAGAGTAATAATTTAATGAAGATTAAATCACTGTTTATGGGTGAAGGATTTCAAAGACCCTGACACGGGCAAAGCTCAGAAGATGCAAAAAATTCCCAGTTTATGAAACGAGGAATAATGCCAAGACCCTTTAACGAAAATTTGCCTATTAATGTATATTATTTTTAACATTTTCAGAGGAAAACTCACGTCAGCAAATTTCCATTGCATGATTCTACAAGTGATGCTGAAAATATTAAAGCATTAATTAAAATTTGCCGCTGAGAAAGCAGATTAAAACTGCTCATATCAGCAGCAAAGCTATTAACGAGACCAGAAACTATATAATATTTTAATTAACAATTATCAAGCAGTTGAGGAAGATGAAAAAATGTGGACATGATTAACTAAACTAGTGCATTTTGAGACAATATTCAACGGTTTTTATATTACATTGCAAGAAATTAAATTTTTGTTAAAGTTTAGTAAATAGTAGTAGAAAGACGAGAGAATATCTACAGGGAATTACAATGCTTATAGCGACTCATAAATGGCTTTAAAAATCACGAGTCAAATTTAAGGCATTTCTGTAAATCCTTAAAATATTTTAAACATGCGGTCAAACCACTCAACGTAAGCACTTACATCTAAGCATCTATTTTGAGTGAAACATTGCTATATGAGGCTATGATGCAAAACGACCCCAGTAGTTTCCGAAATTAAATTTGGCTAAAATAAAATATAAGAAACCACTGCCTGAAAAACTGCTTCACAAGATTGGGCCAAAAAAACAGAGTTGGGGACTGAAAAGCTTGTCATGTGCCAGGAAACAAAATCCTTATATGTTTAACGTTCCTAAAAGGCACTTAGACATATCATTTCGAAAGTGTTGGCCCATTTTAGCACGCAATATTTTTTCCAGGCCCGCAAATGCAACCTGAGAACTCTTAGGTTGATAGCACTTAAGTAAAAATAAATTTGTATTTTGCCTTTTGAGGTATTCGAAAATTAACTGGTTGTTAGTGGCACACTAACGGCGGAATGATAAATTCAGAATATTTTTATGATGAGAAGAAAAAGAAGGGAAAGTTATCGGAAAAAAATCAACATGCTCTACAGTTGTCAACTTAAAAATTATTTTTAGTTAAAGTTACTGTCTAAATTTTGAAACTGAATTTGGTTGTAAGCGCGCTAAAACGACCAACAATTACGTGAAGGTTGTGCGTAAATACAAAGTAAATTAAATTAATTGTTTTATTGTGTGTCCTTTCAAAACTCCTTCGCCAGTTTTCGGCTCTTTACTTTAGAGAAAATTGAAATCAAATTGCCGTATTAAAAATACCACGATTGAAACAGTTTCAAATCAAATTTGAAACATGAACTAATAAGAGCGCACTATAAACTGTAGAGGAAAATATATCGTAGTTTTTCCAAAATTTGTTTTGCTACAGCGGATGCAAACTGTATTCCCTGTGAGTTATTGATATGCAGAGCGATTTAGTTTTCGGTCATATTTTAGAACTAACCTGCTTTATCCATACATTCAAAGGAAATTCCTGGGTTCCAGTCAATTTTATTGTTTATCATTTAAAATGTTACAAATACGTTTCGGTGTTTTTCTCCACCACATCAGTTTGTCTTCACATTTGGCAAGCCATTGAAAAAGGCGGATCGTAAAAATTTAGCTCAACCATCTAAACAGCCAAGCAATCTTACCAATTTTTTTCCGATTAATTGCCTAGGAAAATCACCAAACGTTCACGAGAAGATCGCGTTTGGGAGAAATGATCTAGAACAGTTATGAACCAAAAGAAGCCAGAYAGTATGCTGTAAGGACCTTCTCTGATCCCGATTCTTAGATGTTGCCTTGACAAATTTTCTGATAATTGACAACAAAGCTGAACAAAGCAAAACCACATTTAATTTCCTCAAAAAAGTGTTGAGCTCCAAAAATAAATTTTCACCAAATCCCAACCAGGCTTAGAGGAAAAAATTCACATTTAATATTACAGAAATAAAAGAAGTGGGATCCACAAAGCGGCAATTACATTTCCGTCAAGCCGCTGCAAAATTGTCGGCGTTTTTATACATTTGGCAATTTAATTTAAATTTATTTCACCGAGGATGCTGCAAATCAGGCACACGAGCCCAGTCAGACAGTGCGTGCCCGAGTTTTTCCAGTTTCTTCAATTTCGGTTAAACCGCCGCTCCTGTTTGACTACAAATAGAAAAGCGATTGTTTTAATGGAAACAATGGTATTTTGCACTCGAGGGAACAGCCAGCCGAGCCGTTACACAATGGCTTTTTAAACGGGCGGTAATTTACAAAAGCCGACCTGGACTTTTGTCTGAGCATAACACGGTCTTTTATAATTACTGCTGCAAACGTTGTGTGTCTTTCTAAAAAGCGGTCGAAGTGATGTTTTTTCACTTTCGGAAAACCAATTAACTTTTGAGAACGGCACCGAAATGTTTGTTAATATTTAGATACGACGATCTTCAGCCCTTACGAAATATTTATTGAGGCAGTTAAGCGCGGCCCGACTGGAATTTTTAGCATTGAATGCTTGCCAAGCTCGGTTTGTCGCTTTCTAAATGACTGCCCGTGCTTTGCCGCAGAAACAAAGCCGGAAACTTCATTAAAATGATTGCCAGCTTGATGAACATTGCACATCTTCTGAGACGATCAACCCAGCAGTAGATGGAAAAACAAAGTGTCTGCATGTCCTGATCAGCTTCAGCTCAGCTGCAAATATTAGCAGACTTGTAAAGCAACTGTTGTCCGTTTGTTGTCTAAATGTAGCTTCTATTTGGTTGGTCGGTTGGTCAAAGTAAACGGTATTCTTCAATAATTGCAGAAATCTTCACAGCTTCTCAGCTTTTTGAAGTGATAGTGAAGTTTGCCAAATACATGGCTAAGAGTCGCATTCAAACATTTTTATCATGTACATACTCATGCGTAAAAATGTAATAAAGCGAATTTCAGAGCAGGAAGCAAGTAAATAGATCCCTTTGTACACGGGTGGAACTGCGATGAAAATGTTTCCATTTGCTTAAAAGGATCAAAACCTGTTATTCTCAAAGTTGCATAGCAAATGTCCATTCAATATTCTGAACTCACCCTTCTTTTGTATCGAAAAATAGCAGGTTTGTTCATTTTAACGTTTAAGTATCATTTTTCAAACGGTTGGATAAGGATGTTGGCGTTTTTTCATGTGTTTCAGATTTGTTATGAGATCGCTTATCCTTGAGATGCATGCGAGAGGATTTTGTAGATTAACGCTTATTTGAAAAATTTTGGCGGTTGCCGTAGATTCTGTGTGTTCAGAAATATTCGGTTTTTAGAATGCATAAACTCCTCTCATCCCTATAAATTGGTAAGACGTTGTCCTAGAAGGAACTTCCATTGAGTGGTTTATTCAAGTAATAAAAGTTTGTTACTGGAAATCTAAACGCTCTAAAGTCCTGTTTTGCCATTTTAAACTAATCAATCATTTGCTGAGATTGTTTGTCGAACTCTATATGTATCGAACTTTTTAAATTATCCTAGATACTTCCGGGTCCATCCAAGTTGTTATTTCGGAGAAGCGGTTATTGGTTTTCGCTGCAAAGAAGTTTCCTTATATCGAAAATATTTTGTTTCGATCTCGATTTTCCGCAGATGATTTATTCAAAACACTTATTCAATGGAGAGTGTAGAAAAACTTGGTTCAAAAAATTCCTTCATTTTGAAACCATTTAAAACAGTATGTAAATCAGTTGGTAATTCTCGTGGTGTTGCTACTTTGAATTTTTATCAGCGTATAGTTTTTATGCGCTAATAAATAATAAATAAATAAATAACTCTTCATCCTCTGTTCCTTAAGGTTCGAAAACGAGAATTGGAAGGGCAGGAAAATTGAAAAATTCTGTGTAACTTTATCGCCCAAAAATTAATGTGGCAGATAACCAGGATTACGGCAGAACAGAATGCCAGAAAGATACTTAATAAGATTAGGTGCGAACAGACTGGGGCCTAAAAATTTTACACGCCATTAGTTTGACAGGCAAAATAATCCGGATTTACACCCGGGTTAGTCTCTCGAGGGCAAAATCTGCCGATTATTATTGCGGCTTAATGATCAGCAGTTCGGGCCCCTAATGTTGTGATGATTTTAAGTTGATTTAAAAATGCAAAATTGCCAATTTCAAATGTGTACATGTTTTGGTTTTTAGCAACGCCAACAAGTTAGTAAAAATACAATTAATCTCGCATGTGATAAATTACTGAGGGAAGAAGCTTCACCATTAGGTTAACACTGCAAACGCTGACAAACTTAATATACGCCAGTCAGTGCAAAGAAAATCTCGTAAGCCGCAATGTTTGCAATTACAATTTGAGTTTAAAATCGGTCCAGTAATTGACCGTCTGCCATGCAGTTCCAAAGAACTGAACAGCCACATCGTAAATTCTAGACTCTCGGGAATATTGACTAATCGGAACGTTCCAGATAATTGGCCGTGTGAGTAATGCAATTATTAAGTGTTCTCTTGTCCCCACAAATGACAATGTTGCATTATCGAGGTGGATCAGATGATGATTAGCTCATCTTGAGCAAAGACAAAGGGTAGTTTATATCGGCACATAAGAATGTGCTCACAGAAGAACTGCAAACTGGAGAAAAACTACCAAAACTATTTATTTAGTAGCTGGAATCAACTGACTTTCTTTGAGTCGATGCCCCAATCCTTTTTGAACATTTTTGGGCTCTTCGGAAGATCTTGTAGCATTCATAGATTTTGCGCAAAAAATATTTCCGCTCCCTTGCCAACTGACAAGTTTAAACATTTATTAACTTTTTACATTAACAATCTGAAATATCGTCTTCTGTTGGATCGGGAAAGTGCTCAGATGGATTCTATTGAATCCTGCTGTGGATTTGCTCCTAAATCAGGGCCATATTTTGCAAAGAACCCGATTCTTTTCGATCCTGGCGGTCCGTTAAAATTGCAGTTAGTGTCTGCAATTGTTGTGCAAGAAAACAAAAATACCTTTTTTTGCGGAAAAAGCTATGAATTTTACAAGATTTTACGGGGACCCAAAAAAATTAGAAAGGATTGTTGCATCAACTGCAAAAAAAGTAAATTGCTTCACCAGTTGTCCAAAACATGAGTCTTACATTGGACTAATTCAGAGCGAGTTTCGTTAAAATCCATCGTACCATTCTCCCGATATTTCAAGAAACATCAATTTTTTAAGAACTTTGACCATCAATAGCAGGGGAGCCAGACATGTTTTCTTAATAAAACTTAGGTCGGTTCGTCTTATTTGGAGCCCAAGAATGTATCAGTGCTGTACATACTACACCCTGTATATACTACATAAAGATTTTCAATTTAGAATGGGCCAAAAAAACCATATGAAGCCAAGAGTTATCAGTGAAAAATGTTGAAGCCAGTAACGGTCAAATCTGGTCTCTGGACAACAATTCCGATAGAAAGAGCCAAGGAAAACCTAAACAAATAAATAAAACAATCCTCAAATTACAGTAATTCTCGCCCAGTGTTGGGCGAAAGTTCCAACTAGATAGAGGAACACAAACACTATCTGAACTCGCTCGACCTTTTCAGATTCTACTCTATTTATTCAAAGTGCTGATCAATCACAGCCCGATCCCTTAGTATTTAAAATCACTTTCGTTCTGATGGTTGAATTTAACTCCTTTTGTGTGGGAGAAAAACTCTTGAAGCTCCATTATTCCATGTTCACAAAATAATTTTTCCACCTTTTCTCTGCGTCTGTTCGTTCTGCCTGTCGATTTAAAATTTCTCTGTTAGTTACATTCTTTGAATTGATTTTTACAGCCTAAATTCCGAACTGATCAAAGATTGAGTATCTCGTTAAGATGCCACTGGAGATGTAGGAAAATACTGAAACTGGTATATAAAATAGTAAAATGCCAATATTGTCCCAAATCGGAGTTAATGCCGATAAATCATTGGATCCCCCAAATGGCAGTAAAGTGTCACGTGGAAACTTCCTGATTGAGGCGGTCCCCTTTTTTCTTGCAATTTAGGTCATTCCTCTTAATTTCGCCTGTCGCATCGCCTACAATATGGCATCAATCATTTTTTATTAATATAAGTCTGTCACGTCGGAGTTAGAAGGAACATGATCAATATTCGAGAAAATCGCGCGATTCGAAAGTACATCGATAGCTTTTCAAATTTCCAAAAATCGGCGCTTTCGATTATTTGCTTATTCGCACAACTTCACATCATTGCAAGGAATGTGAAAATGCTTCTATTGTTGCTGAATTATATTAGAAACTTCTGCTAAAATAGTGCGCTGTGTGTGGCAACAGTTAAGTTCTGCATTTTCCTATTCAAACTGTATAAATATGTTTGCAGCTGAAAATTGGAAGAGCGAAAACTGCATTTTTTAATTGCATGAAAGGGCACGAAAAGTGGAAACCGTAAAATCATCATGAATGTTTTTTTAGCTTAAAAATTCAGCGTCATTCTTGTCCTCAATCTTACCTTTTTTCGAAGTTCGAAAGCTGTCGTCTCTGGGAACGTATTGAATATCGTATACCAAAGTCGTGTTAGGCAGAATTTCCCTCTCCTTGTTAATTTTGTAAACAGCATACTTGAAGGCCAACTCAGAGCTGCTATTTTTCTGGTCCTCAGTGAAAATCGCCCCTGAAACCAAGATTAACTCATCAGTTCGAGGTTTAAAAGTTGCTTTGAATTACGTCGGCGACTTTTCTCTGGGATTTTTCAGCTGTATCAATTATACCTAATGAACTGAACCGAACTGCACCACAGGCTTTGCCCAAGTAAAACTCTTTGGAGACTCGTAATTAGAAGAAATTCTCAATTAAAACGGTTTTCATTTGCAGTTAGGATTCATTAGCGGTCTAACATAATAACTTTGAGGGCGAAATTTGAATCCAGGATAAAAGGATTCAATTTGCTTGCCATTCAGCTTACCTAATTATAGAACATAAAGTGAAGTTTTAGTTTCACGTAAAGGTTTGCAGAGTTAGTTTGGGTTGGTCCGGATATTCTGTCGACAACTTGCCACATAAGCTACAAACAATCCTCATTCGTCTTTATCTCCAATTTTTTTAATCAGCTTACTGCAGGGTAAGCCCATGTTTCACTGCATTTTATTTGATCTTTGGAACACGAAAATTGCTACTCACTGCATTAAACATGTCTAAAAATAATTCATCAGCATACTTTCCATACCATATTTCAGCATACTTTCCAGCTTAAATCAGTTTTTGCTAATTCATGTGTCTCTGAGCAAGAGTAAACTCCAAATTTAATCAGATTGGAGCTTCTCAAAGGGGTCCCGAGTGTTGAAAGCTAAATGCATTATTCGCTTGAAGCAGGCAATTTGGACGTTTCAATCTGCTTACACGATTTTCAGGTAAGTTAAATTCTGTCATAAATTGGCTAAAATTTAATCCGTCATGCAAACAATTTTCATAATCCTCTTTCCCTTGGATTCTTGTTTGACCAGTCGTGCAAAGATGCGTAGGTATACTATAAAAGCAGTTTAAGTCCATAGAAATCATGAAATGTTGTGATTAATAAAATGTAAAATTAATTATATAAATACAAAAAGTCCTGGAAATATACAAGTGGAATATCGGTGTTACCATAAATTATATGCAGGAATTAAAGAAAAATAACTGTATCTACAACAGCAACCGACTTTGTTTAGAATTAGCACAGCCATACTGATGATAATGCAATCCAAAGAAAAGTTTTGTTGA